TCAAAAGCAACCGTGCACCTTGAATGGCTCCTTAGAATATGCGCTAACGACTTATGCTAAACCAGTGGTTCTCAACCAGGGGTACTTGTAATCTTGGGGGTACTCAGAGATCTTCCCGGGGGTCCATCAACTCATCTAGATATTTGCCTAGTTTTGCAACAGGCTACATAAAAAGCACTGCCAAAGTCAGTAGAAACTAACATTTCATAGACAATGATTTGTTTATACTGCGCCGTATGCTAGACACTGACATGTAAGTACAATGTTTATATTCCAATTGATTTATTTTATAATGTTATGATAAAAATGAGAAAGTCAGCCATTTTTCAGGAATAGTGTGCTGTGACACTTGCATTTTTATGTCCTATTTTGTAAGTTTTTAAGTGAGGTGAAACTTGGGGGTACACAAGACACATCAGACTCTAGAAAGGGGTACAGTAGTCTAGAAAGGTTGAGAGCCACTGTGCTAAACTCTCTGTTCACCCCTGTATTTAGCTGCCCCTGGGCTCTTGGCTCCCTGATCCGAGCACAGCTGCCCCGGGTTCTTAGCTCCATGTTCCTCGCCGGGAGCATGGGAGCTGCCCGGTGCAGCCGGGCTCAGAGCTAGGAGTGAGGAGCCAGGCAGGCACAGCCCAGATGGGAGAGGGGAGCTCAGGCAGCAGCCTGGCTGGGAATGGGGAGCCGGGACCCTGGTGGGCAGCCAGGCTCTAGCTGGAGCCCTCAACCATGAACCACCCCAGGCTGACAGCCCAAGCTGTGAGTGGCTTTCTTGTCGCATTTACAGATGGAGAAACTGAGGCAGAGGGAGGGGAAGTGACTTGCCTGAGGTCACCCAGCAGGTTGGGGGCAGAGCTGAGAGTTGATCCCAGGTCTCCTAAACCAATCCATTATTCTGTCCTCCAGGCCACACTGCCTGGCAGGAAGGAATGCCGACTGTTACCCCTAGGATCGACTGAGCTTTGGCTGTTTCATCTTACAGAGCTGGACTGTGAGGGACGTGCCCGTACACAGCAAGTCCTGCTCTTTAGGAACAGTCCTCAGAGAGAAATTTTGCGGCATACTGACTTCAGTTCATCAGGCTGGAATTGGAGTGACTCATCAGGCGGAGGAATCTAAAGCCACAGCCAGATGAATGGGAGATGAACACCAATTCAGGATTAGAAAAGTGGTTTAAATATTATACCTTCTAATGTTCACTGTGTTGCTTTCTTTCTATTCCCCAGTCTCTCCCATTTACTGGACCTATTCTTGGCGGTCTTCGTGACGGATTGATGGTTATCGTCAGTGGAACTGTTCATCCTACATGTGACAGGTGTGTGCTTGTAGGGATACAGCTGCTCCACTCCTGTGCCTAAAATCAAATGTTGAGAATATTGGAATGTTTCCACTCCCTGGAGCATGACCAGGAAGAGGTTAGGAGGTTAGCTCTAGTGACTCAGAGGAATTTGTCTGTGGTAAATTTTCCCCCATTCCCAGAAATACTGATCCAGTTCTAATCCATTGACACAGAGTCGTTCGGATACGGGTTTGAGAGCGTGCAGAAATCATGTATGAAAAGATGTTGAACTGTGCATTGCTGACAGCTCAGAGATCCAAATTCGAAAGCGTTTTGAGTTCCTGGATCAGGCCATCAGAGTCTATATGTGTCATAGAATTGATATTCTCTGTCTCGTTGGTGTCCAGAGATATAAAGATTTTATGCACAAATACTGTAGGTGAATGTGTATGCATTACTGGATTTAGACATCAGCTAACGTCACTGCAATACAGTACTCTTTCTGCTGACCATCTTTAATGCATACAGAATATAATCCCCAATTCAGTAAAGCACTTGCTGAACCTTAAACACATGAATAATCCCATCTCCCTTCAGAGGAATATTTGAGATTAAGTACCTTCCTGTATTGGGGCTGTAAAAAGGCAAGTTAGAGTTCACACCTTTTGGTAGAACATAAACTAGTCACATTATTAGTTTTAGGTTCCTTTATGAAAATAGTGCAACCAAAACATCCCTTTGTCTCCTCCAACCTAGTCTCCCAATAAGAGCCTGGTCCTTCAAGCTGCTACTCTCTCGAGTAATTTTTACTACTTTAAATCAGCAGGGCTACGAGAAGGGTTTGCAAGATCAGGCCTGATGTTACTATAATTGATACTATAGGAAATGCACCTTTGAGAGATGTGCTATCGCAACAATAAACAGTTCCAATCTTAATAATGTGCCAGTCACGCAGTTACCTCAGCAGGAAGGTCGATTAAAACACTGGAAATATCTCAATAGGCTCAGTAGCATTGAAACATGCATTGTAAATATTCAAGTTGTTCATTTGAGCCCTGATCCTACAAATATTTACTACCAGGAATAGTCCTAAACGTTATGATTAGTTCCAATAATTCAGCGGGACCAGTCATGGTAAAAAAGTCTCTGCCCAGAATTAAGCGTTTGGAGGATCATAACCTTAGTTGGTTTTCGGCAGGATAAAATCAGTTAACTACTAAGCTTAGCTACTAAGTCTGAACACTGTGAGGTTTTTGTTGTTTGTTTTCACAATAGACTAGATTGTGATCATAAATTACTATGTTGCTTTAGACTTTCTGTGCAGAAATGTTGTAATGACAGAAGAGACATCTTTGAGAGGGAGCAGACGCCTCCATAAAGACTATTTTGGATACCAGTGAAAGCACACTGGGGGGTTGGCTACACTTGCAAGTTAGAGCGCATTAAATCAGCCCCAGGTGCCATAACTCCTGAGGTGTCCACTCTGGTAAGGGATGTAGAGCGCCCGGACGCGGCAGCTGGAGTGCCCCTGGTAAGCCACCTCCATGAGAAGCAAAGAGCTTGCTGCGCCCCTGCTGGAGTGCTGCGGTGCCAGCGTGGATACCCTGGTCTATGAATGCGCTCTGATCGGCCTCCAGGAAGTGTCCCACAATGCCTGTTCTAGCCACTCTGGTCATCACTTTGAATTCTACTGCCCTGCCCTCAGGTGACCAACCACCAGACCCGCCCTTTAAATTCTTTGGGAATTTTGAAAGTCCCCTTCCTGTTTGCTCAGCAGGCATGGAGTGCTCTCAGCGCATCTTTCTGGGTGACCATACCTCCACATGCCAGGCGGTCCCCAGTATGGAGCAATGGCGAGGTGCTGAACCTCATCAGGGTATGGG